TTGGGTTGTGACCAAAAGAATGAGATCTTGGAAACAAGCGGCCGAAATGAGTTTTCTCCGCAGGGTGTCTGGGCTCTCCCTTAGAGACAGGGTGAGAAGCTCAATCATCCGGGAGGGACTCAGAGTAGAGCCGCTGCTTCTCCATGTCGAGAGGAGCCAGTTGAGGTGGCTTGGGCATCTGTTTAGGATGCCTTCTGGACGCCTCCCTGGTGAGGTGTTCCGGACATGTCCCACCGGAAGGAGGCCCAGAGGAAGACCCAGGACACGCTGGAGGGACTATGTTTCTCGGCTGGCCTGGGAACGCCTCGGGATTCCCCCGGAAGAGCTGGCCCAAGTGGCTGGGGAGAGGGAAGTCTGGGCCTCCCTACTTAGGCTGTTACCCCCGCGACCCGACCCCGGATAAGCGGAAGAAAATGGATGGATGGATAGATGGATGGATATATTAAACAGCAGCCTGAACCTTCAATTCAACCTTTATTTAGACAGATAAATTACAATGAGCCTCGAAGACTTATTTACAAGTGAGATCTGTTTAGACAGACAAAAAAGTAGTGAAACTGGACAGATGTAGGAATTGGAGGCAAAAAAATGTCCTATCAAACTCTTTCTTTGTAGCTGAGAAGGAAGACTAATATTAAAAAACATCTCGCACATACAAGCACATAATGACGTAGACATTCTGCAGAGGGGGTGAGACAACAAGAGCGGTGAGCATGTTCAAGGGTGCTCTCAAGGGCACTGTAGGAGTTCTGATAAGGATGGAATTATCAACCAGTTCCCTACGGTGAGGTCCGTAAATATTATTGAGGAATGTCAGGGAATGGCCAAGGACAACGCTTATGAGAATCCAAGAGTCCTGAAATGATGATACAATGTTTATTCAGCTGGTTTCCTTGGTTGATCAGTTGGAATTCCTTGATGGGGGGGGCGGGGGGGGAGCGTCAGATCACGTCCTCCAGGTGAATTCAGATAAGGTGGCCTTCAAGGCCAGCCAAGGAAGCCAAACTCCGATAAACACACAATTGTTTTGGGGACAGACAGAACTTCAATGACATCTATCTTGAGTCTGTGTTGGTCCACTTGGTTCTGAAACGTCCAAATTACATGGCCACACCAATAGACCGTGCCTGAGAATAATCCCCGAGATCTGATCCATTCTATCAAAAGTATTTGAGTCTGGGTGCTCGAGGCACGAACGGAGCCATCAAGGCAAGCAGCATGATCGGGTCCCAATTTGCTGCCGACGACTTCCTTGATTGTCGATAGACCACGAACCAGCCAAATCCAAAAAGCAGGAACCAGTTATCAAAAATCCAATTATAAATGCATCCTTAAAATCCACAAATGGCAGCAGAGATAGACATATCATCAAATCTTCCAAATTGATGAGAAATCCAGCTGCGTGCATGCCAACAGGGCAAATTGGCTCACCCAAAGCCTGTCTTCTCTTCAAAGAAATGTTATCAATTGTGTTGAGGGACCAACTGACCAATTCCAAGTCCATAATTATGGTTCGAAAGATATGTAGAGAGAGCCCCAGAAGCAGTTTCACAGACAAGGCAGAGCAGCAAAGCAAAGTGGAGAAGGAGAGGAGGGGAAAAGTGTCCGATCCCAGAAAGAGCAAGTGTTAAATGTAGTGAGCAGATGGGTATGAATACAGTAGTTTAGAGGCAAGAGATTAGCAGCATGGATAATCAGCAGCACAGATAAGTCAAGGATCAGCAACATGGATAATCAGCAGCACAGATAAGTCGAGGATCAGCAACATGGATAATCAGCAGCACAGATAAGTCAAGGATCAGCAGCATGGATAATCAACAGTACACATAAGATCATTTAAATAGATAATCAAATGACATCATGATGTCATCAGATGTTTCTCCAGACAGATAATTTAAAGTGGCATTACAGTGATTTTTCCTTACTGTTATTTTCATGGTTAGATATTCATGAGTCTAACAGCTTCAGGGTATAAGCTGTTCCTCAGTCTAGTGGTTCTACACTTAATGCGCCGCAACCTCCTGCCTGAGGGGAGTGGGGCAAAAAGTTTGTGTGCTGGGTCTTAGCTGCTCCATCAGCAGGAAATGGAAGTAGAGATGCTAGCTGCTGTTTTAAAAAGTACAAGAGCTCCTTTAGGTTAGCACTGGATGTTTGTTGGTAAGTTAAGATTTTTTGTAAGGCTAGATCATGCTGTCCATTCTTGTTGTTCTGAGCCATGAGTGTCTGATGAACTATCAGTCTTGGACAAAATCTGTAAACTTTGGTGGTGGCTTAAGCATTCTGTCATTTTTGCCAAGTTTGGCTTGAGGTTTAAACCACCCATCCATCCACCCATTATCTTTACCCGCTTCTTCCTTTTTGGGTCGCAGGGGTCGTCGGTGCCCATGTCCAGCAATCACTGTGCGAGAGGCGGGGTACACCCTGGACAGGTCACAAGTCCATCACAGGGCCAGAGTTTGTTATTCCAGGGACCGAAAGGACTCACCAACTCAGGACATAAAAGATAAGTGTTTTTCTGGTGAAAGTCAACAGAGAACGGTGCCAGAAGGCTCTGTAAGTCAAGGAATAAGGTGAGTATCTGGTTCTCATAAATATTTCTTCACAGAGGGTTAGACAGAAGGTGATGGCTCTTGTCATTGCTTTTTTCCCAGGTTTGGGAGAGGTTGGAGGATTCCAGTTCCTGTACGCAGTGACAGACTCCAGGAGGTAAGTGCACCTGTGGTGGAGAGTGACTGGTGGGATCAGAGATGGATGCATAGACTAATGTCCAAATACTTATTGCAGGAGGTGAGGAGAGAAGGTGAAGTTCCCAGAGAACAAAGGGAATCAACACAGGTGATGGCAGACTCCAGACTCGAGAAAAAAAGTCTCAAAAGGTTACTGCAACAAACATGAAATAATTAATTTTAGTAAATCACTAGAAAAATATTGAGATCACAAATTAATGGCTAGAGGCTGAAAATCACCGACAATTCAACACTCAGGCGGAGAGTTGTGGCAGGTCCTCTGCTTAAAGGTCCTCTGAGGTCCTCTGCAGTCCCAGCTCATCAGGTCCATCTACATTTGATCAGCACACCTGTATCTCATGTACTGCAAGAAGGTGAGTGGTGGCAGAAACAGGAACTGAAATCCTCACAAAAATCAATTGAAGCTTTTATCTAGTGCCTCTGAGTGCATGGAAACGCTCCAGCAGAGACAGTAATCAGGTTTCCCTTAAAGACAATTGCATTACTAATGACCTAACAGAGATAGAATTATATTCAGTGAAGAAGCTTTTAATGCAAGGTCCAGAATAGTTTACTCAATTTCGCCCATTTTTTATTCTTCATCCACATTTATACTTTAAGCAAAGTTTTTTTTTTCATTATTATTTACATAGTTTTAAGAAAATAATTTAGATTTTTAAATTTGTTGTAGAGTTGGTTGTAGAACCAAAACAGAAATTTGTCAGTTGTGATGTTGCAGTTTTTATTAAATGGAGAACATACATCCAAATGTTTGCTTTGGAAAAATAGGAAAGGCAGAGTGTATGGTCATAACTTATTGGTATACACACGTGTGTATACCAAGAAAATGTGTTAAAAGAATGCTGAGCTTTATGTGGTGTGAGGTTCCACAGTGAGTAACTTCATTATTGGATAAAACAAAGTGTGTAATGCTTATCTAGGGACTGTAATAATTCAATTAAATTCAGTTAAATTTCAATTTCAATTTAAATTTCAATTCAATTTCAATTAAATTCAGTTTATTACAAATCACAACAGAAGTTGTCTCAGGGCACTGAACAGAAACATTCACATAAATAGAAAAGCCAATTAGTAAAGTTCTCTATCTAAGGAAGGAATAATAAGAAAAGATTAATACAAACTTCTAGAGGGGACCATAATGATCTTTGACTGAAGTCAAAGAAAAGCACAAGAAAGGAAATTTTAATTCTGTTCTTTGCTTACTGTTTGAGGAAAAAAAATGAATTTGGTTTCAAATTTGTTTTTATGTCTTTTACTTGTTTTAATTTAGGAAAAAATATATAATTGGGTAAAAACTGTGGTTTACCAAAAAAAAAAAAAAAAAACAACTTGAAAATGAATACTTCTTTATTAAGGTATAATGACATGACATTATAGTGAACATGTAAACAGTAATGCACATCATATCACATTACAAGTGTTTTGTAAATTTCAGGTTAATATAAAGGCATTACACGACTTTTTAGTTTAGTTTTCCCACATATAATGCAGATTTACATCGAAAGGTGTCTTGGGGAAAATGCACAGAAAAGGTAAATAGGTTAAATTGTATCCAAATAAATAGAACACAAATAGTTATAATGTTTATTTCATTTTTAATGCACACTTTCACTGGATTAACATGTTTTTGAAGGTTTCTAAATAATTTAGGCAGTGACTTCTCTGGATCAAAATTAAACCAAAATCTAAGAGTTAGTATATTTTAGTTTTCATAAGCTTTGATTTTAATCTAAAATCTCAAAAAGTCTGGTCCACTGGACGGGTTCAAAAAACAAAAAAAATGTAGAAACGTTTCATCTTTCATCTTAGAGCATGCATGAGGATACTTTGTTTTTAATGTTTACATATGCACATGTAACAAAAAATTCTAATACTAATGACTAAGTAGTATTTCTGGTGTGTTAGCATGGTACCTGCATGTGTTTATGCTTACATTAGCCAGATATTTTCAATAAATGTCTCCTTTAATCTAATAACCTCTTTATTTCATGTCCACAATAGTTTTTGTTTTGTTCAAATGAAATGAGTAAAATCTTTTAATTGTTATATAATGTAGCACAAATGTTTCCACTGTTAGACGTAAGTGACTCAACGGAGGATAAGGTCAGATTAAATTAATTTGTTTATAGTATTTTCTAAAAAAAATAAAATTGAGTTATTTTTCTGCATTAGATTATTTAGGAAGATAAAAGTCCTTAAATAGGGTCCGTCTTGACGTCAAATATTACAAGATAAAATAAGTAAATTTGTTACCTATGGTTGTGATGACAGTTCCAGCAAAGAAGAAGGAACTGCCCATGTCCCAGTAACTGGAGTTTGTCTCCCCAACAGGCCTCACTCCTCTGCTCACAGCTTTTATGGCATGCTGAAATAAGGAAAATATATAATTCAATGTTGACAATATACAGCAACGTAAAACTGATCTGTTCTGCCAATAAAGTTAAGCTAAAATATCAGAAAAAAATGCTGCCAAAATTATTCCCAGCACTTGGCTCTGACTCCGCAGCTGAAATCTGATCAACAGAGGAATGTGAGCATCTGTTTTCATGTCAGCTCAGCTGATAATAACACAACAAGCAGGTGTCAGCTTTAATTTGACATGTCCTGATGGTCTGAACAGAGGGGTGGTTGTGCTTCATCTGTAGTCAAGTGTTCAGGTGACCCTTGACACACATTTACATAACACTTGTGCAGTAAATGCAGATTGTTTGGGATCAGTTTGGAAGGTGAATAACAAAAAGAAAGACAAATGTAAAGTGGAGAAAAGAAAATAGAAATGTCTTAAAAAGAACAAATGTCTCATGATGATGTCTAACTGCAACAACAAAGAACAGGTCAGTTCATGAAGACATCATCACTTCATCAGTTCCACTGAGAAAGTGCTTCAGCAGGATGTAAAGTTGTTTAAGCAATTTAACTACATAATGTGATCTAAATTACTGAATTAGGGCTAAACTAAAATCTGACAAACTAAAAATAATAAATAACAAAATTTGAATGTCCTTTATTTTTTTCAAAATGAAGTGTTTGCCTGTGTGTAAGTAACAAGACATTAATTTATGGAAAAAAATGTAGTAACTTTTTTGTGAGCCAAAACATAAGAACTTTTCACGTCAGTTCCTTATATGGTAAAATAGTAAAACACATGAAGGATAATATAAGTGAAATTAATAACTTTGTCATGTAATAAATTACAAATAAATATAGAATATATGTTTGTCTTTGCAGTTTTGTGTCTCCAACATATGTATGTTGTTTACACAGTATGTAGACTGGATTTTACACACACCACACACACACACACACACACACACATACATGTATGTATGTATATATATATATATATATATATATATATATATATATATATATATATACATATACAAAGTATATGTATATATGTATGTATATAATCAAACAAAAGAGTCAATGAAAAGGCAAATGTAATGTATCTCATTATGACATGAAGCAATCTATTCCTCTGCAGGGACAAGTAATGCCTGGTTTGCATTTAATAATATTTTTCCATCTTCATTTCTTTTTCTCCTCAGCTTGTTGAATGTCTGGAGGAACATTTACGGCATCATTGTTCTTACTGATGTCGCTTAGCACACCATAGCCATGAAAAGTTAATCTGCTACATTGTATTATTTTTTTAATTTCCATGTTTATGGGAATTTTATGACCAAATAATTTATTTTCTCATCTTTATACAAATTTAGTAAGTTCAGTTTTCCCTCAGGAGCTCAATTAAATGATTTATTTTTCTTAGAGACAGTCAGCAATGAGGAAGATCTAGAAGAAGCAGATTTTTTCAGTATTTCTGAAGAACGATGCATTTTAGCCACTTGATTTAGAGCTACCCTCAACCTGTCCAGATGCATGTCCAGATCATGAAACATGCATGTGACATACTTTTCAAAGCAATCAGAGCACATACTCTAAGTGCCACATACTTACTCAGACTCTTGTATGAGATTGCTCCAAGTCCACTTCACAGCCAATTAGTCATATTTTGGATTTTAAGAGACAGTTTTTGTAATAATATCATAAAATTTCTATCAGATGCACTTTATGTGAGGCCTAAACCACAAATAACCTAATTCCATAGAGCCAAGAGGAGACATAAATAGATGCATAAATATTTAATCAGGAAATCTATTTTTGTCTCATATCTTCTTACCAGTAATGCAGTATGTGAAATGTGAGGAAAATCACTTTTGTGCACATGAACTTTGAGCCAAGAATATTGTGTTGTTGAGTAGTATTGTGATTTATTGGAGCTAATTGGCCAAACAAAGGGCAGTTTTGTTTCACCCATCATGTTTCATATGCAAGCAGACATTGTTGCAGAAACATAATCACTATCAACGGGCTCTTGGCTAATGTGCTCTCACATACTCCACTGCAGGATTATTAGAGAGCAGATTTTTATCCTCTCAGTGTGACTCCCTTTGCCCCATGGCAGGCGGCAGTAATGATCCAGGCAGCATGGTGCCTCACACTCTCCTTCATCCAACTGCGTATTGATACGATGCCAAGAACACCCTCCTCTGCAGTATTTTTACCATTAGTCATATCTACAGCTTTACTCAAATACACCATGAAGCCTTGAGAGCCTATACAAGATAAAAAAAAACACAATGAGCGCTGGTTTGACCTTTTGGAAACTATCAGGAGAGGTTCAAAACTATTTATGGTGTGAAAAAAAAGAGGTATTTTCAAAACTTTTCTTAAAATTGTGCAGACAGCAAAGATGCAAATTCTTCCCAAAGAGAATAACAAGCCTAGCATTCCTTGAAGGACTGCCCACCTTCAATCACTTTTCATGCCAAAGTTTTAGATGAAGTTCGTTTATAGTGTTAGCATCATGAACTTTTTCACTTTAAAAGTTATCCAGATATTTTGCTAATAGACAAAGTTGACTCCTGATTCTTATTGGCAAAATTTAAAAAAAGAACTGCTATTGCTCAGGATTAGGCTCAACTACTGCCACATCATATTTTAGGTCAGAGTCTGCAAAATTCTGAGTTAAAGCAACTTTTCTATCCACATTATTCCTGGGGGCTCTACTGTATAAATGATTCTGGTACAACTTCCTGTTAGACAGGAAGTAGCAGTAAGCACTGGTTAACCATGGTAGTGGAGCATGGACCGCAGTTTAATTGAAAGTAATTTACATTCAGTTCAGCAGATAAAACTTTGTTTTTGTTTTGTTTACATTATTTAACAACCATAAAGTTTACTAAAACAGCTGTGCTGAGTTCAGGTACCTGTTGTGTTTGAGGAGGAAAACCTGCATCCTACTTTGTGTCTGGACTACAATAAAACACCGGAGAAGAGACGTTGGATCCTCAGAAAGATTGAAAACAGTGATGAGACTATCAGAGATGATTTCAAGTGTATGAAGAACACAGCTTTATAGTATTTGTTCGTCTTCAGTATTACAATTTTCTCTAGCCAAGCTCAGTGATGGAGGACTTTAAGGCTCTGGCTGGGCTCCACGTCTGCTTTTAGGTAAATAAGATTGTGTCCCACCTCTTTCAACAAAAAAACACTGACCTTATTACTGTGTAGATACTAGTGGTGTAATGGTACACGTGGGTATATTGAACCGTTTCAGTTCGATCCACGTGCGTACCGTTTCGGTTATTTTTTCACTCATTAAATTGTATTACCGAGATATTATGCGGCGCGGAACTAAAGTTCCTAAGCGTGTTTCAGCACGGCACTATTTATTGTTGCATAGTCTTGCAGCGCGCATAGCATTAGCAGCCTAGCATCTCGTTGCGGTCTCCTGTTTGGGAACATTATGGCTTTCTTGTTAAAAGACAAGTGCAAATCCAAAGTTGTGTGTCGACGTTGTTTCACGGAGATTGGATCTGCAGCAGCAACACGTCTAACTTGTTAACGCACTTGAAACGACATCATCCAAACGTGAACGTCTCTTCTACAGAATAGCAGCTTTGTTTGTTGGTTCAAAGACCGATAACAACAGCATTTAAACAACCTTTATCAGGTAATTCAGATTGGTCCAAAGCAAAAACACAAGCTGTAGGAGTTTTTAAAGCTCTGGATCTATGTCCGAATGTTGTTGATGCACCGGCTTTAAAGTTATTGAGCCTTGCTGCCTACAACATCCCATCGCATCAACACTTCAGCCAAAAAGTTGTAGCAACACTTTATGAAAAAGTTAAAACTGATATTGTCAACAAGCCCTGCCCTGATAATGATGAGCGAGAGGATATTTAACCATCGATGACCGTTCAAGAAGAGATATTGTCGTTATTATTATCTAATTAACTTTTTTAATTTAAAATGATCATCTTATTAACTCAATTTTTTTACCTCTTTTTGTTGTTTGCAGTCTGAGGATGTCATTGAGTTCCTCTTCAAGGAAATAATTCACCAGAGATCACCTCCAGCTGAGAAGTCTGTGATGACTGAACTCTGAACATTTCCAGGGACAAGTAGGAGCAGGTCCAAGAGGTTGTGAGTAAAAAACAGTCTGTTGCTGCTTATTGTTCTGTTTCTGAAAGTTATTGTATTTATTAAGATTTTTATTATTGTTAGTATAGTTTATTTGTTGTAAAGAGTGCTGTTTATTTAAAATATCATCCAAATGGGTCACTTTATTTATTTTTATACAAATGTATTGTTTACTTGGCATATTTTCAAAATAAACATTTTGTAAGTCTTTATTTTGGCCTTTTTTGTACCGAAAATTAACCAAACCGAGCCCTCGCTGAAACTGAACCAAACCGAAATGTGACTTTAGCATATCGTTACACCCCTAGTAGATACTAATAGTACACCTCAGAGCTTTTCAGGTTGTTCATCACTTCACCGTGAGAAGAACCGAGTCAATGAAGTAGCTAAAGATGCTAGTATAAGTGGCTAAATATTCTAGTAGATGTAGCTAAAATGCTAGTACAATTAGCTAAATATTCTATTAAATGTAGCTAAAGATGCTAGTATAAGTAGCTAAATATTCTAGTAGATGTAGCTAAAGATGCTAGTATAAGTATCTAAATATTTTAGTAGATGTATCTAAATATGATAGTAGATGTAGCTAAATATGCTAGTAGATGTAGCTAAATATGCTAGTAGATGTAATCTGCAGCCACTTCTTAGGCTTGTCCTCCATCCATCATCCTCAGCAGACAGTGGTATGGATATTGTCCTGTTTGAGCTCTGACAGGTAGTGTTCCTACATGTTTAAATTAAATCCACAATGCTCAGAGAAACTACATTAGCTCGTACTGTTCGCACATAAACAAACACCGGTTCTGGTCCGCTCCGGAAGTCTTGCCCATGATTCACACAAGGCAGCATGGGGGCTAGGAATAAGGTGGATAGATTGTA